TCATTTCTATCAAATGAAATGATAGAAATAAACTGAGAGGAGATATTTACCATACATAAGATGAAAAATATTTTGAATCTGGAATGTATAAGAATTCCTGTGGATTAAAAGCAAGATGAATAACCCAATGAAAAAAAATGGGCAAAAGCAATGAGCAGAAGAAGCACAAATAGCCCACAAATAAGATATTTAGCTTTATTTAATAAGAGAAAAACATAGATAATACTGAAAACCCATGAGTTGGACAGAAAGTTAAAACTGATAATACAGTATTGAAGTAATGTGGGGTAATGGAAAATTTTTTACAGTGTTGATGGGAATAGACATTGGTAAACTCTGAGGAACAATCTGGCAACATCTGGAAATCTGGTAAAGTTGAAAATGTACCAAACCTATAATCCAGTAATTCCACTTCTAACTATATACCCTGGAGAACACTTGCTCAAGACACAATTCTAAGAATTTCTAAATAAGTATCATTGATAATAACAAAAAAATGGTAACAACCTAAGTGTGTGTCACCAGTTCTTGTTGTTAGGTGCCGTTAAGTCGGCTCCGACTCATGCACAACAGAACAAAACACTGCCCAGTTCTGTGCCATCCTCACAATACTTGCTATACCTGAGCCCATCGTTGCAGCCATTGTGTCAGTCCATCCCATTGAGGGCCTTCCCCTTTTTCGTTGACCTTCCCCTTTAGCAAGCATGATATCCTTCTCCAGGGAGTGGTCCCTTCTGACAACCTGACCAAAATAGGTCTGACGAAACCTGGCCATTCTCACTTCCAAGGAGCATTCCAACTACACTTCTTCCAGGACAGATTTGTTAGTCCTTTTGGCAGTCCATGGTACTTGTAGTATTCTTTGCCACCACAACTCAAAAGCATCAACTCTTCTTTAGTCTTCCTTATTCGTTGTCCAGCTCTCTTGTGCATATGAGGTGATTGAAAATACCATGGCTTGGGTCAGGTACACTTTAGTCTTCAAAAAGACATCTTTGCTCTTCAACACTTTAAAGAGGTCTTTTGCAGCAGATTTTCCCAGTGCAATATGTCATCTGATGTCTTGACTACTGCTTCCATTGATGTTGATTGTGGAATCAAGTAATATGAAATCACTGACAACTTCATTCTTTTCTCCATATATCATGATGCTGCTTATTGGTCCAGTTGTGAGGATTTTCTTTATGTTGAGGTGTAATCCATACTGCAGACTGTAGTCTTTAATCTTCATCAATAAGTGCTTCACATCACTTTCAGCAAGCAAAGTTGTGTTATCCGCATATCGCAGGTTGTTAATGAGTCTTCCTCCAATCCTAATGGCACGCTCTTTATATAGTCCAGCTTCTCAAAGTATTTGCTTAGCATACAGATTGAATTAGTATAGTGAAAGGATACAACCCTGACACACTCCTTTCCTGCTTTTAAACCATGCAGTATCCCCTTGTTGTGTTTGAAAAACAGCCTCCTGATCTATGTACAGATTGCTCACGAGCACTTAATTGTTCTGGAATTCCTGTTCTCAATGTTATTCATAATTTGTTATGATCCACACAATCAAATGCTTTTGCATATTCAATAAAACACAGGTAAACATCTTTCTGGTATTCTTCACTTTCAGCCAAGATCGATTTGACATCAGCAATGATACCTCTTCTTCCACATCCACTTCTGAATCCAGCTTGCATTTCTGGAAGTTCTCTGTCAATTTGCTGCTGCAACTGTTTTTGAATTATTTTCAGCAAGATTTTACTTGCATGTGATATTAATGATACTGTTTGATAATTTCCATATTCCGTTGGATCACCTTTCTTTAGAATGGGTGCAAATATGGATCTCTTCCAGTCAGTTGGTCAGGTAGCTGTCTTCCAAATCTCTTGGCATGATGAGTGCCTCCAGTGTGGCATCCATTTGTTGAAACATCTCAGTGGGTATTCCGTCAATTCCTGGACCCTTGTTCTCCACCAGTTCCTTCAGTGCAGCTTCAACTTCTTCCCTTAACCCCATTGGTTCTTGATCATATGCCACCTCTTGAAATGGATGAGCATTGACCAATTATTTTTGGCACAATGACTGTGTTTTCCTCTATCTTTTGATGTTTCCTGCATCATTCAAAATTTTGCACATAGAATCTTTTAGTATTGCAACTCAAGGTTTGAATTTTTTCCTTAGTTCTTTCAGCTTGAGAAATGTCAAGCTTGTTCGTCCCTTTTGTTTATCTTACTCCAGGCCTTTGCACATGTTATTGTAGTAATGTCTTCTCAAGCTGCTCTTTGAAATCTTCTGTTCAGCTCTTTTATCTTGTCAATTCTTCCATTTGCTTTAGCTGCTCTCCATGCAAGGGCCAGTTTCAGAGTCTGTTCTGACATCCATTTTGGGCTTTTCTTCCTTTCCTGTCTTTTAAATGACCTCTGCTTTCTTCATGGATAATGTTCTTGATGTCATCCCACAATTCCTCTGATTTGCAGTCATTGGTGTTCAGTGCATCAAATCTATCCTTTAGATGGTCTCTAAGTTCAGGAGGGATGTAATCAAGGTAATATTTTCGCTTTCGTGGACTTGTTTTAATTGTTTTCAGCTTCAGCTTGAACCTGCCTATCAGCAGTTGATGGTCTGTTCCACAGTCAGTTCCTGGCCTTGTTTCGGCTGAAGATATTGAGCTTCTCCATTGCCTCTTGCCACAGATGGAGTCCATCTGATTCCTTGTGCTCCATTTGGTAAAGTCCATGTGTATAGTTGCCGTTTAGGTTGTTGAATAAAGGTATTTGCAGTGAATACGTCATTGTTCTTACAAAATTCTATCATGAAATCTCCAGTGTCATTTGTATCACCAAGTCCATATTTCCCAGCCTCTGGTGATTCTTCTTAGTTTCTAACTTTTGTATTCCAATCACCAATGATAATCAACACATCTTGACTGATGTTTGGTCAATTTCAGACTGCAGAAGATGAAAATGTTCAATTACCTCATTTTTGGCTTTGGTGGTTGGTGCATAAATTTGAATAGTGGTATTAACTGGTCTTTCTTGTAGATGTATGGATATTATTCTATCACTGACAGCATTGTACTTCAGGATAGATCTTGAAACATTCTTTGTGACAATGAATGCCATGCCATTACTCTTCAATTTTTCATTCCCAGCATAGTAGATCATGTGGTTGTCTGATTCAGAATGACCAAAACCAGTCCATTTCCACTCACTAATGCCTAGAATATCGATCTTTATGCATTCCATTTCATTTTTTATAACTTCCAATTTTCCTGTGTCACCAGTAGAATGGATAAATATGTTATTTCTTGGTCCTAAAATGGCAAAGAAAATGAATTAAATTAAACTACACATATCAACTTGCATGAATATCAGAAATATAAGGTTTCTCAAAGAAAGCAAGTTGCAGAATACAGTATGATTCTATTTATAAAAAGTTTCAAAACATGAGAATACTACCGTGTTGCTCAGAGATACATCCAAATATCATGAAACTATAAAGAAGCACAGAGAAGGAGACCATTACAGGGGAGTTACACAAGGAGGATTTAATGTGTTGGTGTTTTGGTCCCCTAGTGCCACTCTAACAGACGTACCACAGGTGGGTGGTTTGAACAAACAGGGCTTTACTCTCTCACAGTTTAGGAGGCTAGAAGTCTGAGTTCAGAGTGCCAAACTCTAGGGGCTGGGCGAGAGCCCCTCGACCTTGGGCTTCAGCTCTACCTCTTGCTCCTGGCCCACTGAAGCTGGAGGCATCTCTTAACTCAGGCTGCTGCTGGCTTCTGAGGCTAACAAACCCAAGGTTGACAAGTAAAATGGCACAGTCCCAAGATATCAAGCAGCACAGCAGGCCACAAGTTCAAGTCCAGAAACAGTATCAAGATTGGCAGACAACATGGCAGGCCACTGAGGTGAAGACTTGGCCAAATGCAGGATCCAGATGTACCATAAAGCTCAGAGACCTCTCTCAAAGTGCCTTATATACTAACTAGAAGCAGACCGGGAGCTCTGGTGGCGTGGTGCCTAAGGCACTTGACTGCTAACCAGAAGGTTGGCAGTTCAAACCCACCAGCCACTCCTCGGAAGGAAAATGGGTCAATCTACTTCCATAGAGATACTGGCTCAGAAACCCAAGGAGGGGTCTCTATGAGTCAGAAGCAACTCAATGGCACATAACAACAAACAACAGCAGAAGCAGACCACATCCCAAACGCAGCGCCCCAGCTGCTCACAGTAGATCCACCATGGAGCTGATTGCCAGTTTCATCGTGGGGAATAACTACATCCAGCTGCCCAGCCGCTCAAAACTAGGCCCAGCCAAGTTTACACACAACCTTAACTACCACAGTTATTAATGATTCATTTCTTAAACTGGGTGTTATGTATTGGATAACCCTTATATTATGTCTTCTTAAATATTGTTTAATTTTTTAAAAATTGAATCTTAAAACTCTTTTTGTATAATGATAACTTTATTGTTTTGTTTCGTTTTGTTTAGGATTTTATTTTTTATTTCCTAACTGGCAGTAGATGTATCTTGTGAGATTTTAAAATGGAAAAGGGTAACTTAAAAAGAAGTAACAATATAGTAATGAGTATTCCTTTGCTTTTCACAAAATTGAAGGCCTAAAACTTTTTCCTCGTTTTGACTTACTTAAACCACTGTTCAGATGTTTTTTTTAAAAAATACTGTGTATGTGGTATAAAACCAGTTCAAAATTAAAACCTTTCAAAAGTAAGGGGTAGGATTAGTAACATTGTTAGTTTCCAACCAAAATGTAGCATCCTTAAAGCATTTTAGAGGGTGTGAACATTCTATTTTTATGTAGTTGGTGTAGTTGTTATTCTTAAGAGTTCCAAATTGAAAGAGTAAGAATTGTTTGTTTCTGCTTTGTATATGTTTCCACCTTCCATAGGGGTTTCAGTATCAGTCCTTAGAACTGACTAACATAGTAATACTGAATTGGAATCTTAAGGGCTTCCTGGTTTATATGATTTTTGTTGTTGTTAAAGGTGCACGCCCCAAGTTGGGACGCCGACATAGTATGGAAAACATGGAACTTATGAAGTTAACACCAGAAAAGGTTGGCAATTTTTATACTTTAAATTTTGTGAATTGTTATAAAATATTTTATTAACTTTTAATTTAAGTGAAATAGTTTAAATAAGCTTTGTCCTAAGTGGATATCACTTAAAAATTTGCCTTTAAAAAGAATCAGGAATCTTAAAAAGTACATTGTAAAAGAATGTGTACAATAAGCTGTCATCTGTTTAAGAAAAGGATACATGCATATATATCCTTTGTAGATGCATAAAACATTTCTGGAAGGATAGGTGAGAAATTGAACAGTCATTGCTTCTAAGAAGAGGTGTTGGTATCTGACTTAGAAATCAGTTTAACTGTTTGAATAATGTACCCACCCCTTTTTTTTTAACCTCTTCTTTTCTTTTTTTTTCCTTTTCTTGTCAACCAAATAACAGCAACATTATTGGCAGGAATCAGAGTTAAGATTTTACCAAGCTATAAAACCAAAGCAAACCTTTCACTGACAAGTCCTTTCTAACCCTGCAGTCCTGTAGGACAGAGTAGAAGTGCCCCAAAGAGTTTCCAAGGCTGTAAATCTTCAGGAAAACCAACTGCCATATCTTTCTTTGGCAGAGCAGCTGGTGAATTCGAACCAGCAACCATTGGGTTGGCAGCTAAGTGTTTAAGGTGCCACCAGGGCTCCTTTACCAAGCTATAGCATGTTCATAATTGATGACAATGGCAAATTATATTTATGATCAAAAGAATGATAGTTTTTTAGCTGCAGTTTTGGTAAAGCACTTCTTTAGCTGACACATTACTTTTTATTCAGGATGTGTTTTCTCTAGGCTATTTTCTTTGGTAATAGATGAGACTTGATTGTAAAAAGATTATTGAAGAACAAATCAAGTGAACCACATGTACAGAATCACAGGCCACTTTCTTCTACCACTGTTAACTTTTCTTAATTGTTAAAATAGGCTTTCATTTGTTTATGGTACATAATTGTTGAATGCTTTCTTAAATGCATATAGCAACTTTAGAAAATTCCAGCAAGGAAATTAAAATCATAAATAATCCTACCTCCCAATGGTAACTACAGTTAGTATTTTTATATTTCATATAAATATTATATTATAATAGCTGGTTATATCTCTCTGTATTAAATACTGTTCTGCTCTATCATTACAATGATTTTTGAATATTGACACTTTTTTATATACAAATAGTCTTCATAAGACAGACATTTAATTGTCTTGGACATAGAGCTAAGATTTTTTTGTTCCAAACATCCACAGAGTTGTTAAAAAGCTCCGGTTACTTCTCAAAGACTTTGTCATAAACCAAAAAAAAAAAAAAAAAAAACCTAGAAAAACTCACTGCCATCAAGTCAATCCTGACTCATAGTGACCCTTCCTTGGGTTCCTCTACAGAAGTAGATTGCCCAATCTTCCTTCCAAGGAGTGGTTGTTAGGTTTGAACCTCCAGCCTTCTGGTTAGCAGTCAAATGCCTTAAGCACTATGCCACCAGAGCTCCCATAATATCCCCAAAATATTCAGCACTTGTCAGTAGTTCCCAAATATGGATGTTAGACCCACAAATTTCACTTCCCCCCAAGAATAAAAAAAAAAAACATTTAACGGATTTCACATCTCTTTTCCTCCTCCTTGTAAGAACTACTAACAAGTAGCAACGTTAATTAGCTCCTTTCTGCCTAACCTCTGTAGTGGTATGAAACAGTAAATTCCACAAGAAGCTGGCCAAATTTAATCCTGTAATTCTCCAAGACTTAAATAATGATAAAGTTCTATCTCTAATTTAAAATGTTTAAGCGGAATTAGTTCTTGTATCATAATAAAGTTGTCAAAGAATCCTCTATTTCATTATTCTCAACAAAAGCTAGGCCCCAAGCCCGCTAGAGCCAGGAAAGGGAGGGAGCGGAGCGGCCAGGGACCACAGGAAGGGCAGGATCCAGGTAAGGGGCAGGAGGCAAAGCAGGCCCCAAGCGCCTAGAGCCAGGAAGGAGATGGAGTGGCCAGGGACCACAAAGTGGCAGATTCCAGGTAGGAATTAGGTAAGGGGAGAGGGCAGAGGTTTCCAACAGTAAGGGAGACAAACTTGTCTGTCAGTTTGTCATCTTGTGGGGCTTGTACGTTGCTGTGAGGCTTGAGGCTGTCCCACCAGTGTTTCAGATGCCAGCACAGTTGTACATGGTACACAGGTTTCAATGCAGCTAGCTTACAGACTATGACAGACTAGAAAGAAAGAAGAGGCCATCCACTTCTCAAAAACTGGCCAGAGAAAATCTTACGAATAGCAGAGAAACACTGTCTAATATATTACTGGGCGACTTTATGAATAGCTTGGAAACATTGTCCAGCACAGTGAAAGAAGACGAGCCCCCTGGGTCGGAAGGCACTCGACACAGGACTGGGAAAGGGCTGCCTCATCAGAGTAGAACCAACCTTAATGATATCGATAAAGTAAGTCAGGACCTCCATGTGCTGACGTGACATGACTTAAATTGAGGAGAAACAGCTGCAAACATCCATTAATAATCGGAACATGGATTATATGAAGTAGGAATCTAGGAAAATTGGAAGTTGTCAGAAATGCAATGCAACGCATAAAGATTGATATCCTAGGCATTAGGGAAATGGACCAGTTTTGTCCATTTTGAATCAGACAACCATATGATCTATTATGCCGGGAATGACAAATTAAAGAGGGATGGTGTGGCATTCATCATCACAAAGGATGTTTCAAGATCTTTCCTGAAGTACAATACTGTCAGTGATAGGATAATATCCATACATCTGCAAGGAAGACCTGTTAATACTACTATTATTCAAATTTACACACCAACCACCAAAGCCAAAGATGAGGAAATTGAAGATTTTTATCAACTTCTGCAGTCTGAAATTGACCGAACATGCAATTAAGATGTGTTGCTTATCACTGGTGATTGGAGTGCAAAATTTGGAAACAAAGAAGAATCACCAGTAGTTGGAAAATTTGGCCTTGGTGACAGAACTAATGCTGGAGATCGCATGATAGAATTTTGCAAGACCGCGACTTATTCATTGCAAATACCTTTTTTTTTAACAACACAAACGGCGGTTATACTCATTGACTTCACCATATGGAGTACACAGGAATCAGATTGACTACATCAGTGGCAAGAGGAGATGGAAAATCTCAATATCTTCAGCCAAAACAAGGCCAGGAGCTGATTGTGGAACAGACCGTCAACTGCTCATCTGTAAGTTCCACTTGAAGTTGAAGACAATTAAAACAAGTCCACAAGAGCCAAAATATGACCATGAATATATCCCTCTTGAGTTTAGAGACCATCTCAAGAATAGATTTGATGCATTGAACACCAGTGACTAAAAACCAGATGAATTGTGGGATGACATCAAGAACATCATCCATAAAGAAAGCAAGAGGTCATTAAAAAGACAAGAAAGAAAACACCAAAATGGATGTAAGAAGAGACTCTGAAACTTGCCCTTGAATGGAGAGTAGTTAAAACAAATGGAAGAAATGACAAGATAAAAGAGCTGAACAGAAGATTTCAAAGAGTAGCTCAAGAAGACAAAGCCAATTATTATAAGGAAATGTGCAAAGACCTGGAGTTAGAAAACCAAAAGGGAAGAACAGGCTCAGCATTTCTCAAGCTGAAAGAACTGAGGAAAAAAATTAAGCCCTGAGTTGCAATATTGAAAGATTCTATGGGCAAAATATTGAATGATGCAGGAAGCATCAAAAGAAGATGGAAGCAATACACAGAGTCACTGTACCAAAAAGAACTGGTTGATCTTCATTTCAGGAGGTGGCATATATTCAAGAACCAATAGTATTAAAGGAAGAAATCAAAGCTGCACTGAAAGAATTGTCCAAGAACAAGGCTCCAGAAATTGATGGAATGCCCATTGAGATGTTTCAACAAACGGATGCTGTGTTGGGGGCACTCACTGGGCTATGCCAAGAGATTTGAAAGACAGCTACCTGGTCAACTGACTGGAAGAGATCCATATTTGTACCCATTCCAAAGAAAGGTGATCCCACAGAATGTGGAAATTATTGAACAATATCATTAATATTGCATGCAAGTAAAATATTACTGAAGATAATTCAGAAACAGTTGTAGCAGTATATTGACAGAGAACTTCCAGAAATGCAAGCTGGATTCAGAAGAGAACATGGAACGAAGGATATTATTGCTGATGTCAGATGGATCTTGGCTCAAAGTAAAGAATATCAGAAAGATGTTTACTTGTGTTTTATTGACTATACAAAAGCATTTGATTGTGTGGATCATAACAAATTGTGGATAACATTGAGAAGAATGGGAATTCCAGAACACTTAATTGTACTCATGAGGAACCTGTACATAGAACAGGAGGCTGTCATTTGAACAGAAAAAGGGAACACTGCATGGTTTAAAATAAAAAAGGGATGCATCAGGGTTGTATCCTTTCACCATACTTACTCAATCTGTATGCTGAGCAATTAATCTGAGAAGCTGGACTATATGAAGAAGAATGTGGCATCAGGATTGAAGGAAGAATCATTAACAATCTGCAATATGCTGATAACACAACTTTGCTTGCTGAAAGTGAGGATGACTTACTGATGAAGACTGAAGAATACAGCCTTCATTATGGATTATATCTTAATATAAGGAAAAGAAAAATCCGCACAACTGGACCAATAAGCAGCATCACAATAAATGGAGAAAAGATTGAAGTTGTCAAAGACTTCACATTGCTTGGTTCTATAGTCGACGCCAGTGGAAGCAGCAGTCAGGACATCAGACGACATATAGCACTGGGCAAATCAGCTGCAAAGGACTTCTTTCAAGTGCTGAAGAGCAAAGATGTCTTCTTGAGGACTAAGGTGCACCTGACACAAGCTATGGTATTTTTCAATTACCTCATATGCATGTGAGAGCTGGACAGTGAATAAGGAAGACTGAAGAAGAATTGATACTTTTGAGCTGTGGTGTTGGCGAAGAATGCTGAAAGTACCATGGACTGCTAAAAGAATTAACAGGTCTGTCCTGGAGGAAGTGCAGCCAAAATGCTCCTTGGAGGCGAGAATGGCCAAACTTTGTCCTTCATGCTTTGGTCATGTTGTCAGAAGGGACCATTCCCTGGAAAAGGATGTCAGTCTTGGTAAGGTGGAGGGTTGAAGAAAGAGGGGAAGGCCCTCAACAGGATGGACTGACATAGTGGCAGCGGCGATGGACTCAAGTATAGCAAGGATCGTGGAGCTGGCGCAGGACAGGGCTGTGTTTCGTTCTGCCATGCATAGAGTCGCTGTAAGTTGGAGACGACTCGATGGCACCTAACAACAACAACAACAAAGTCAAGAAGTGGATATAAAGAAAAAGGGAGACTTCTGCTTTAAGACACTTCTCGGGGAAAAAGTGTGATGAGAGGAAACTTTTGAGACTGAATGCTGAAGATGTCTTTTCTTTCCCTAACATTTGGTAATTTTGCTGACTATAGGAGCTCTGGTAGCATAGTGCCTAAGGCACTTGACTGCTAACCAGAAGGCTGGCGGTTCAAACCCGCCAGCCACTCCTTGGAAGGAAGGTTGGGCATTCCTACTTCCGTAGTGATACTGCCTCGGAAACCCAAGGAGGGGTCGCTATGAGTCTGGGCCGACTTGATGGCAAATAACAACAACAACAACAACATAGAATTCTAGGTGGAAATAATTTTCCTTCATGATTTTGGAGATAGTTGTTTTACTCTCTTCTTGTTTTCAGTGTTGTTGAGAAGTCCAAATAATTATTTAAAAGTAAACCCACTGTCATTGAATTGATTCCGATTCATAGTGATCCCCAATGTGTTTCCGAGGCAGTAAATCTCTGTGAAAGTAGATTGCCCCATCTTCCTTCCGAGGAGCAGCTGATGGGTTTGAACTGCCGGGCTTCTGGTTTGCAGTCAAATGCCTTAGGCACTACACTACCAGAGCTTCGTAAATAATTGTATAGGAAACATTTTTAATTTTGTCACATTCCTGCTTTGAATTTAGGTACAGTTTTATGTTCTAACATCAAGGTCATTTTCTTATTCTTTGATCAGAAGACCTTGGAATTCACTCTAGCAAATAACTTCCCCTGTGATGCAGAAGTAGATGTTGGAAAACTTGCTTGGTTCTCTTGTTAGCCTTGGGGCAGGGTTCTTTTAATTTATGCCTCATGGGAGAATTTTATGGGTAATGGAAATGTTCTACATCTCAGTTGTTGTAGGAGTTATATGGCTTCCAATAATACTCTGAAAATGTCTGCATCTCATTGTATGTAAACTTTACCTTTGAAAAAATGTGCCTCACCAAAATGATCATTTACTACATACATAAAGTGGACCTTAGAGTGACTTGCAAATGCTTAAAACTGTTAAAACTACAAATGTTGAGGACCTACTTAATGTATGTACTGTATGTTTTCCTTGCACTCAGTAAATACTTTGAGTCTGTTAGAGGTTGTCATGGGAGCTTTGGTGATGTAGTGCCTAAGGCATTTGACTGCGAACCAGAAGGCTGGAGGTTCAAACCCACCAGCCACTCCTTGGAAGGAAGACTGGGCAATCTACTTCTGTAGAGATACTGCCTTGAAAACTCAAGGAGGGGTTGCTGTGAGTTGGAATCTACTCGATTTAAACCAGATCTAAACTAAAACTAAACCAAACTAAACTAGTTGCCACTGAATTGATTTTGACTCCTAGTGACCTTGTAGGACAAGTAGAACTGCCCCATGGGGTTTCTAAGGCTATACGTCTGTAAGGAGACAGATTGCCACATTTTTTCTCCCAGAGTGACTAGTGGGTTCCAACTGTCAGCCTTTTATTTAGCAGCTGAGTGCTTAACCACAGTTCCACTAGGGCTCCTCAAAACCAGATCGAGACTTATAGAAATTGCTGACTAAGTGTTGCGAATATTGAAAATTTTGTATGACATAGTGTAAAACATTATAGTTTTATCAGGAGAAAAATTAAGGTTGCTATATAACTTTTCTCAGAAGGAAGGTTGGGCAATCTACTTCCGTAGTGATACTGCCTTGGAAACCCAAGGAGGGGTTGCTATGAGTCGGGGCTGACTCGATGGCATATAACAACAACAACAACAACAATATAACTTTTAGATGTTAATTTTTTTAAATTCTACATACATCCCAAATTTCCAATAGAAACCGATTTTTAAGTAACTCACATCCAGAATAAAACTAACTCCTCTGAACATTCTAAATTTATTTTTATAGAGTTTTGGCAAACTTTCTTTTTATTCTTAGGTTCTAAAAGTTCATCATTTTAACATTTTTATAATGAGACATCCACAATATAGGTTTGGTAACATCTATTGAAAATAGATATACTGACAAAAAGGATTTTTTAAGAGATCCTGCTGCCCCAAAGTAGTGAAGATGGCAGGTTAATATTTTAGGAAATCAGGGAGAACTTTGGGGTTTTTCATGTCCTGCTTTCCATGGTAGCATAGTGCCTAAGGCACTTGACTGTTAATCAGAAGTCTGGCGGTTCAAAGCCACCAGCCACTCCTTGGAAGGAAGGTTGGGCAATCTACTTCTCTAGTGCTACTGCCTCGGCAACCCAAGGAGGGGTTGCTATGAGTCGGGTCCGACTCAGCGACACATAACAACAACAACAACTGTCCATTTGTGTTTAATTTTGTAGGTACAGAACTGGAACAGTGAAATTCTTGCTAAACAAAAACCTCTTATTGCCAAACCTTCTGCAAAACTACTCTTTGTTAACAGACTGAAGGGGAAAAAATATAAGACTAATTCTTCGACAAAAGTTCTTCAAGATGCCAGTAATTCCATCGACCACCGAATCCCAAATTCTCAGAGGGTATGTTTAAAATCAGTTTTTGAACATTTTGTTTTGTTGTGTACATAAGTTTTAATTGAATTGTATTCATACTAAATTATATATAGATTTATAATTTATATTAGCCATTTAATATAAAAGGTCTTTTTTATGTAAAGAAGTTTTCCGTGTTTCCCTATTGTTCTGTCTTCTTCAAAGCTAGAAACAGTGAGTATTCTATTCGTAGATGACTTTGCCCGCTGTTTCGTATAGTGGTTCTCTGCGTGTTTTAAGTCACTATTGTTTGCAAAAACACTACTATTTATTTCACTGTATTTTTCATACTGAGCAATTTCCTTTTATTCCTAGTTTGTTAAGTATTTTTTTTTTATCATGAAAGGGTACTATATTTTGTCATTTGCAATTTTTCTGCTTTGAATGAGGTGATCACGTGGTGTTTCCCTTTGTTCTGTTAATGTGGTGTAATACATTGACTGGTTTTCTAATGTTGAACTGCCCTTGCATTCCTGGGATAAATCCCACTTAACCATGGTATGTAATATTTTTGATATGCTTTTTGGATGTTGTTTGTCAGTATTATGTTGAAGATTTTCTCATCTATATTCATAAGGGAGTATGAGTCGTTGTCCGGTTTGGGTAGTACTAGCCTCGTAAGAAGGAATGGGGAAGTATTCCCACCTCGTAAATTAGGTTACTTCTATAAATGTTTGGTAGAATTCCTCAGTAAAGCCGTCTTGTATGGCACTTGATTTTTGTGTAATTGAAAGGTTTTTGATTCCTGATTCAGTCTCTCTTCACTTGTTATGGGTCTCTTGAGATTTCCTGTTTTTTCTTGAGTCAATATAGTCAGTTTATATATTTCTAGAAATTTGTCCATTTCGTCAAAGTTATCTAATTGGTTGGAGTACATAGTATGTTGTTCATAGTGTTCTCTTATGATCCTTTTTATTTCTGTAGGGTCAGTTGTAATGCTTCTGCTTTCATTTCTGAATTTGTCAGGCTAGCTACAGGTTTGTCAGTTTTATTTATGTTTTCAAAAGAAAAACCTTTCTGGTCTCACTGATCCTCTCTGGTGTTTCTCTGGTCTTTCATTTCATTCATTTCTGCTCATATCTTTTTATTTTCTTCCTTTTGGTAGCTTTGGGCTTAGTTTACTCTTCTTTTTCTAGTTCCTCAATTTAAAGTTAGGTATTGATTTGAGGTCTTTCTTGTCCTTTGATGTGTTTATTGCTATAAATTCCCCCCTGAGTATTACTTTCACTGCATCCTGGAAGTTTTGGTATGTTTTAATTTGACTCTTAAGTGTTTTCTGATTTCTTCCTTTACCCTTTGGTTATTTAATAGTTCTTGTTGTTACGTGCCGTCAAGTCGGCCCGACTCATAGTGACCCCTCCTTGGGTTTCCAAGGCAGTATCACTACAGAAGTAGGATTGCCCAACCATCCTTCTGAGGAGCGGCCGGTGGGTTTGAACTATAGTGCCTAAGGTACTTGACTGCTAACCAGAAGGCTAGCCTTCTGGTTAGCAGTCAAGTACCTTAGGCACTATAGTGTGTTGTTTAAATCTCACATATTTGTGTGTATTTTAGTTTGCGTTCTGTTGTTCTAGTTTCAGTCCATTGTGGTTGGCGAAGATACTTTGTATGATGTCAGTCTTTTAAAATTTATTGAGACTTGTTTTGTGACCTAGCATGTGGTGTGTCCTTGAGAATGACCCATGAGCACTGGGGAAGAATGTGTATTGTGCTTTTGTTAGGTGGAATGTTCTATATATGTCTGTTAGGTCTAGTTGGTTTTTTTTCTTTTTTTCCCCAGTTATTGAGTTAATTGCAACTCATGGTGACCCCGCGTGTGTCAGAGTTATACAAGACTCTATAGGGTTTTCAGTGGCTAGTTTTTTGGCAGTGGATTGCCAGGCCTCTCTTTCAGAGCACATCTGGGTAGGCTTGAAACTCCAAACTCTTGGTCAGTAGCAGACCTGGTTCATAGTCTTGTTCAAAGCCTCTCTTTCCTTATTGAACATCTTTCTAGATGTTCTTTCCATTATTGGAAGCATATATTGAAGTCTCTGAGTATTATTGTAGAACTCTTTGCTATTCCCTAATTCTTTCAGTAGTTGTTGCATCATGTATTTTGGGACTCTGCTGTTAGTTGCATATATACTTAGTATTGTTACATCTTCTTGATAAATTGGCTCTTTTATCACTATGTAATGTCCTTTGTCTCTTATAGAAGATTTTGACATAAAGTCTGTTTTATCTGATACTAATGTAACCCACCCCATCTCTCTTTTGGTTACTATTTGCATGGACTGTTTTTCTCCATCTTTTTACTTTCAACCTATTTATGCCTTTGGGCCCCAAATGTGTCTCTTGTAGGCTGCATATGTATGGATCATGTTTTGTTTTGTTTTTTAATCCGTTCTCCCACTCTCTGCCTTTTGATTGGACAGTTTAGTCTATGTGTGTGTAAGGTGATTACTGCAAAGGAAGGACTTATTTTGCCATTTGTTTTTTGTGTGGCATATACCTTCTTTGTCCCTCATTTCCTCTAAAACTGTCATCACTTGTGTTTAGTTGAGTTTTTATAGTAAACCATTTTGATTCCTTCTCCTTTCTTTTATGTTTATTTCTGAGATATTTTCTTTGTAGTTCCGATGAGGATTACATTTAACTTCTTAAATGTATAACAACCTAGTTTAAACTGATACCGACTTAAGTTCAATAAGATATAAAAACTCTATCCCTATACTGCTCCTGCTGCACTTCGTGTAATTGTTATCATCAGTTACATCTTTGTACATTATATACCCAATAGCATAAATTCATAATTATGTTTTATGTATTTGTCTTTTGAAATTATGTAGGACATAACTACTGAAGTTGAAAACCCAAAATATCGTAAAACTGGCTCTTGTATTTGGACATGAAATTACCTTTATTGGAGATCTTTTCTATAGATGTCTTTTAAGTTACTGTCGAGGACCCCTTCAGTTCTATCTGGAAAAATCCCTTTAGCATTTCTATAGTACAGGTCTAGTTCTCACAGACTCCCTCAACGTTTGTTTATCTGGGAATATCTTAATTTCCACCCTCATCCTTGAAACACAGTTTTGCAGAATATTGAATTCTTGGTTAACAGTTCTTTCCTTTCAGCACTTTAATATGTCATCCCATTGCCTTCTAGCCTCCAGGATTTCTGAGGAGAAATCAGCACTTAATCCTATTGAGGGTCTTGTATATGACATTTCTATTCTCTCTTGATGCTTTCATGATTCTCTCTTTATCATTGGATTTCAGGAGTTGGATTATACTGTGTCTTGGTCTGTATCTTTTTTAATTTATACTACGTGGAGTTTATTGAGTTGATGTGTTTGTAGATTTATATCCTTCATCCTGTTTGGAAAGTTTTCTTTCTGTTCCTTTCTCTTTTTTTTTTTTTTTCCTGGCATTCCCATGATGTGTATGTTGGTTCAGTTGGTGGTGTCTCACAGTTCCATTAGGCTTAGCTCAGCTTTCTTGACCCCATAATATGTGTGTGTATGTGTGTGTACACCTCTGTAGTAATACTTACATCATCATGAAAATGACTTCCTTTATTAACCATTGCATTCATCATATGACTCTTTCCATATGAAATATGACAGGTTATTTCCCCTCCCCAAATATTCATTCATTTGAAGTTTGCATTCTTCCACATCTTCAAATCTTTTATAATGAAAGGCCTTGGAAATCACTAGGCTAGGAAAATACACTATGCTCTCTTCCTTAGTTTACCAGTTTTACAAAGGTCAGCTCATTTAAATGTTGTTGTAGAATCTTAGCACTGAGCTGTCAGCCTGCGGCACGTGCTGTATCACAACCATATGTGTTAATTCTGGGGCATTACCTGCAGCAGTTCCCCTGAGTCTAAGTGTCTTTAGCCTTAAAAATACAGGAATTAAAAACCAAAAGTAACAAGAAGTGCTTTTTGTTAGTTAGGTTGAAATGATACCTATTCTTATTACCAATGTTGCCATCTTGTATTCATTTGAAAAATAAAATGTAATTTTTTTATTTTTAATATTCATCCTTTATTTTTTGCATTTGAGTGCATCATGATGTTGTTCCATCAATAATCTGAGGATAATGCTGGAATATTTAGGTGAAGTAGATTTTCTCTCAATCTTTTAGAAAATCAGTGCAGATACTATTGGCGACGAGGGGTTCTTTGATTTATTAAGCCGATTTCAAAGCAATAGGATGGACGACCAGAGATGTTGCCTACAGGAAAAGAACTGCCGGACAGCGTCAGCAGCAGCTTCTTCCACTCCCCACAAAATGATGCTAAAAAGTAAGTTACCTGTGCCTCTCCCTTAATTTTAGTAGTCTTTCTGATTATTCCGTGCTTTTTCACAGTATGATAAACGAGTCTGAATCCAGGTGTCTCTGAATTAGATAGTGATTGTTACATGTGCTTCATAATTATATATAAAATGTGAATGCTTCACATCCAAATTAAAATGCCAGAGCAGACTAAAGAATTACTGCTAAGGCTGTAGCTAAGGCTACCTGAGCCTTAAGGCCCCTAGGTGGCACAAATGGTTTGCACTCACCTGCTAACCTAAAGGTTGGCAGATTGAACCCACTCAGCAGCACTGCAGAAGAAAGGCCTGGCAGTCTGCTTCCATTAAGACTATAGCCAAATACCTTCTGGAACAGTTCTACTTTGTAACATGTGGGGTCACCATGAGTTGGCATCAACAACAACTAACAGCAACACTTGGGTCTTAGAGACAGCTCAGGCTTACCTGATCCTTCGAAAGATCTTAAACAGGCCCTTACAGTTTCCTATTTCAGCTACCAACAGATTTCCTCTGCCACAGACCAAAGCTTATCAGCATCGCTTAACTCTCAGTTTAGCTCCCTAAGTAATTCCTATCCAATACACGGAGTTAAAGACACTTCCCATTCACCCTAATCTGAGGATATGTAAGAAAAACAGTATATTCACCTTCTCAAGCCTAAATCTGTATGTGTAAAATTTCATTTTGGGTGGGCGCTAGATAATGAGAATTATGTAGTCAAATCTGAGTACTGCCAAGTGGATCATTTGAAGTACTGTGGGGTTCATTTTTCATCTTTCTCCCCCACTAAAAAAAACATGCCCATCTAGTCAACCCCCAGGCTCTGAGTGACTGTGACAAGAAGTGAGAGCAGGTGTTGGGGCTGAACAAGGCAGGATAGAACCAGGTATATATGACACATATGCTTACGCACCTTTGTAATGATATTTTGGATTTTTTTTTTTTTTCTTTTTTGATTTCTTCATAGCACCATCTGTTTCTGTGGTGTCCCCCAACACAGATGAATTTTTGGATCTTCTTGCTAGCTCACAGAGCCGCCGTCTGGATGACCAGAGAGCCAGTTTCAATAATTTGCCAGGGCTTCACCTGACACAAAACAATAAAAAGTCCATACTGGGCCACCTGATGACCAGTGACAATAAAGAGCCTGAGGAAGACTTCTTTGACATCCTTGTAAAATGTCAAGTATGCCTGCATATTTTTTTCATTCACTATATAGCTCACATGTCATTTAGAGTTTTGGGGTTATTAGAATTCCTTGTACTTGAGGTTCCACGAGGCTCACTTTGCATTAGGGAAGCAGGTGGTTGTTCTGTAGAGGTGCCCATTTTTACTTGTCCTTATTTTGTATTCCTTTTGGCTGGTGAAGTGAAAGATCGCTGATGACAGTGTCTGAGCTGTGGTAGAGAGGAGACTAGAAAGGGTGTGGGATGAAACCTAGAGAAGAGTCATGCCCCCTAAGTTTTAGGAGGTGGCGTAAGTGGCCAGCGATGACTGTGGAAAGGGGCTAGCTGTCCGGTTTCCCATTTTAGAGAAATGTACATATTGAGATAGCTTTCTTAACTAGTTTAATAATTATTAACCAAAGTGGTTAAGGACTGTCTTAAATGGCCTACACATAGTACCATGAGAACAGCAGTGCTGTTGTCACTGAAAAGTGACATTTTCTTGGCCTGACCCTAGTTCTGTCAGTCAGTTTCCTCGTTTATAAAAAGATGAGATGATAGGTGATACCTGCCTCCTGTTCATTCAACAACAAAATTTTGTTCAACAAAATATTATTGAACACCTATTATATTTTCATGTACTATTGTAGGCATTAGGGATGTACTTGCTTCTTCTCTTTTTTTTTTTTTAATTGTTATTTGGATGAAAGTTTACAAAGCAAATTTATTTTCCGTACAGCAGTTCATACATATTTGGTTTTGTTACATTGATTGCAATCCCCATAATTTAACATCTCCCTTCGCACTCTCTCCCTGTGGTTCCTTTCCTGTGTCCTCCTTTCCTGTGCATTCTGCTCTCTGATCTGTCTCCTTGTGCAAATACTGCCCTTCTGATCTCCCATGATTGATTCTTCTAAGGAGTGTACCTACATGGGGTGGTAGGTACCTTATATGCCTGTCTGTTGTTTTGCTGGAAGCCACAGGAGTGAATTCAATTCCAGACCCAAAGGGTGACTAGGGACCATAGTCTTGGGAGTTTTTACCAATCTCCATCAGACCAGTGAGCCTGGTTGTTTTATGACTGAGTTTTGTTCTATGTTTTTCTCCTACTCCATGCAGGATCTCCTGCACTGATCCCTTTCTGAGCGGCTGACAGTGGTAGCCGGGCACCATGTAATTCTTCCAGTCTCAGTGTCATAGAGGCTGAGGTTCATATGGTCCACTAGTCCCTTGGACTAATTGTTCCCATACATCTTTGGTATTCCTTCAGCCTCCTTTGCCCTGGAGGAGGAGAAACCAGTTGTTGCATCTAGATGGCTGCTTGCAAGCTTTTAAGACCCCAGTCACTGCTCACCTAAGTAGGATGTAGAACACTGTTTTTTGTGTAGTATGTTATGCCAGTTGAGTTTAATTCCCCTGTGACCATGGTCCTGCATCCACAGGCCCAACAACTTGCTCCCTCAGGATACACTTGATTTTTAAAGGAGCCTGCATTTTAGTAGGAGAGACAGTTGAACAAGTTTATATATATTACATATCAGTAACGATCTTTTCTGTAAGGAAAAGTAAAGCAGGGTAAAGGGATCATGGGTAACCGGGGGAGGGGTGGTGGTTATGGTGCATCTATTTTAGACAGAGTGTTTATGGAAAACCTTTCTGGAGTGACATTTGAACAGAGACTTATATGAGGTGCAGGATTCAGCTATGGGAATAATAAAAGAATATTCCATGCATGGGAAACACCAAGTACTCTCTTGGATATAACAGTGTAGCAGGTTCACAGAATGGCAAGGCGGCCAGTGTGAGCAAGGGCGTGGGGAAAGTGGTAGGAGATGACGATGGGCAAGGAATCAGAGCCTACATCACACAGGCTTCTGTAGGCCTGGAAGATGGAGGATTCTGAGCTAGTAAGTGACATGGCATTTTTATCTTTTAAAAGATCCTTCTGGCTGCTATTGAAAGAATGTAGCATGACAAGGGGGTGAGCAGGAAAACTAGTTGGGGCGCAAGTGTAGTAATCCAGGCAAGATATTGGTGGCCTGAGCTATGACGTACACAAGGGGCAGCTAGAGTCCTTACTGTGGGAGCTTACTCCACTGCAGGGGCCTTCTGTAGCAGTTTCCAACAGCCTGGCAACCAGCAATTACCAAATGGGAACAGATCACCATGGAGGTCTGCCTTACTGCTATCAGCCCTCCCTGTAGTCTGTTGGCTTTGGGTGTAGCCTCCATTAAGGATGCCTGCTTCTTAGCACACAGCAGCCGCAGTCAGCCGTCCTCAGCACCAGTCCAAAGGTGGAGCAGACAGACCTGAACTGGGTCAGTTGGTTTCACAGAACTGAGCTATGGGGTGCCAGGGAGACCTGTAGAGTTTTAACTGTGAAAGCAGACTCCACTACTGCATGGGCATCTGTAGCAGTTTGCAGTAGGCTTGCAGCAGACAATGTCTTGGTAGCGGAGGTGCTGACACACTCCAGGTGGAACCCCGGGAGGTCTGCCTGGTTGATTTTAGGGCAGAAGCTTGGAGTCCTGAGTCCCTTCGTACAGGCAGGGGCTGTGGTGGTTAGGGAAGCAGCTCTTGTTCTAGGGCCTCTACCCCAACTCAGTGCAGTCGGCAGCTAAGGAGAGAGGCAGGAACAGTGAGAGAAGAGATTTCCTACTGTTGGCAGCACATTGGTTTGTTGATTCTTGCCTGTCTGCAGTGCCCTGCTTTTTTCTCTGTTCCCTAATTCAGAGTCCCTCAAAACTGAGCACTGTTTCTTTATTGTATTTCTTACTGTATTTGTGGGGGAGGGTCAGAATGATGGTCTGTTTATGCCACCATCTTCCCAGAATTCAAACTGTAGGCTTTTAAGGGCTTGCATTTCATATTTGATTAATGACATTTCTGATGAATTTCTAAAATAAGAATCCTAAGATTAGAGTTTAAAGGAAAAATTTAGTCTGGGTTATTTCCTTGATGGACTTGAAGTACCTATGACAAGTATAGGTAAACTTTTCCCACACAGGGCCAGATAGTAGATATTTTAGGCTTTGTAGGCCATACGGTCTGTGTCATAGCTGTTCGGCTGTGCCATTGTAGTGGAAAAGCAACTAGGCTGCACAGAAACAGATGTGCATCGCTGTGTTCCAGTGAAACTTTATTTACAAAAGCAGGCAATGGGATATAGTTTGCTGGTCCTGGCCTAAGACAGTATTTATAGGCTACTTACTGAATTTTTATACAAATAAGACATGCATTATATGAACTTTTTCCCCAAAAAAACCACACAACCCCCTTGGACATTAGTTTTCTGCATGTGCTATGCATGTTATATATATGTGTGCTTGTCATTTATATAGGCTCATTATATGCAGAAAATATGGTATATTGTTAGTGTCTATCATGGTATTAATATAAGGAGTCCTGGTGGTGCAGTGGTTAAGTGCTCAGCTAACTGAAAGGTTGGCGGTTCAGATTTCACCAGTGGCTCTGGGGGAGAAAAGACCGAAGATCTGCTCCTGTAAAGATTACAGCCTAGAAGCCCTGCGGGGCAGTTCTCCTGGGGTCTGTAGGGTCACTGCATCAGGATTAACTGCATAGGACACATCCTGGTGTGATCAGTCTGAGATGTCATACTTAGGAACACAGTTGACTTTGTATCTACATTAATGCCAGATTATTCCTTTGTGACAGATTATAAATAAAATAGCATGCCTTAATATAATGCACTTACTCATGAAGCGGTGGCCCTGCTTCTACATACTTATCTTCTGATCATATAGTTTCATTTTAAAGAATAATTTCTTACTCAGTTTCATTTTTCAAGATTAATTTCTAAGAGAAGAGGCATAAAAAGAAATGTTGAAGGCTGTATTTTCTTGTTGTTAATGACAGACATAATGTAGTGTGGTGCTTTCCTTCCCTGCCTGCCAGCAATTTTGTTTTAATCTCCTTCTCTTCAATCTATAGGGGTCCAGATTAGACGATCAACGATGTGCTCCACCACCTGCTGCCACAAAGGGACCGACAGTACCAGATGAGGACTTTTTTAGCCTTATTTTACGATCTCAGGCAAAAAGAATGGATGAACAGAGGGTTCTTTTACAAAGAGATCAAAACAGAGACACCGAATTTGGACTAAAGGACCTTTTACAAAACAATGCTTTGTTGGAATTGAAAACTTCAGAACAAAAGTCAGCAAACCACTAGTTACTATGCATATTTTAAAAGGCAATCTTACTTCCTTTTAGAACGCTGCAGGAAAATTTAATCTATTACTTCTTTGTTCCATAAAAGGAGAATTTATAGCACTGTAACAGCTTGAAATGTTTTTAGAATGATGTAAATATTTTAACCTTTAATAGTGTAGAATTAGTGAGCTAACATTCCTCTGGACACACCTTTGTTTAGGGTCGAAGTGTCTTGTAAGGTGCTGCATCAGCCTTTGTAATTATTGCCTGGGACTGTGTTCTTTGGCAACTCATTAGATTCATTTACCTAGCATCTGTAAACTAGAAAATTAAATGAATCCTAGACTAGAATTTAATTCTTAAAAAAGTCTTTAATAATAATTGACAATGTTTTTTTAACTTAACCATGGATATAATAGGAAATTATGCTGTTAGTAAAAAATAATGCACTTGACCAATGTAAAAAAGTCTTATAAAAAAAAATTTTTTTTTCCTAAGAAAATTTGTCTATTTTCAATACATTTTAGGCCAAAATCAGTATAAAAGAAAAATAAACTTCTTTTATTTTGGGATATTTGTAAATATATACATAGACACACACATGCACACAGTTTAAAATGGTCTCTCTTCTGTTGCAAAATGAAACCAAAAAATAAACTCACGGTGACCTCATACACATACACATTACATTACATTGACCTCATACACATACACATTACATTACACATACACATACACATTACATACAGAGTGTAACTACTTCATACAGTTTTCTGACCCCTCCTTGGGTTTCTGAGGCAGTACCACTACGGAAGTGGGATTGCCCAACCTCGGAAGGAAGGTTGGGCAGTCCTACTTCCGTAGTGATACTGCCTCGGAAACCCAAGGAGGGGTCGCTATGAGTCGGGGCCGATTCGACGGCAAATAACAACAACAACCTTCATGAAGGCAGATCACCACACCTTTCTTCCACAGCACTGCTGAGTGGGAACTGCCAACCCTTAGTAGTTGAGCAAACACTTTGTGCCATCTGGGGACCTTATTTTGCTTAATAATGTTGCTAAAACAAACTTTTATAGCACCTAATATTTAAAAAATTATGTTAAGAGCTCAGGCCACATAAATAGAAAACAGATGAAAAATTGCAAAACTTTAGTATAGAAGATGTAGGTTAGGACCTCAGTTGTCGTTAGACTTCACCTTCCTTATCCCAAAGGAGCCCTGGTAGTTCAGTACCTAAGGCATCTGACTGCTAACCAGAGGGCTGACGGTTCAAACCCACCAGCCACTCCTCGGAAGGTTGGGCAATCTACTTCCATAGTGATACTGCCTCGGGCTCGATGACAGTGAGTTTTTTTCCTTATCCCAGAATGAAGGTAGTTTATAGGGGTATAGTAGCTAGGGTTATGCGTCTACTTGGCTGGGCCTGGTTTTGAGTGGCTAGGCAGCTGGCTGTAGTATTCCCCATGATGAGACTAGTGGTCAACTCCATGGTGGAATCTACTGTGAGCAGCTGAGTAGCTGCCTGTGGGACATAGTCTGCTCCCAGGATGTAAGAAGCTTTAGGAATGGTCTACAGCCAAGTTGTTATTCAGCACCCTGCCATGTTGTCTGCCAATCTGGAGACTCTTGATGGACTTGAATCAATGGCCTGGCATGTGCTTTGGTAATAATGGGACTGTACCTTTGTACTTGTCAACCTTGGGCTTGTCAGCCTCAGCAGCCAGCAGCTGAGTGAAGAAAAGCCTCCAGCTTCAGTGGGCTGGGAGCAGAAGTCAGAGCTAAAGCCCAGTGTTGAGGGGCTTTCACCCAGCCCCTAGAGCCTGTCACTTTGAACTTGGACTTCCAGCCTCCAAATTGTGAGAATAAACTCGTTTGTTAAAGCCACCCATCTGTGGTACCTTCTGTTAGAGCGGCACTAGGTAACTAAATCAAGGGGTATTAATAGGACATGAGAGCATAAATTAAGTGTAGCTAAAGAGACAGTGGTAGGATGCAGCAGGGCCTGGACTCAGGCTGAACTGCACAGTGTAAGTGCCCGTACCCGGAACCGGTTAGCCAACACATCCAGCGCTGGTTACTTCTATTCTGCAAAGAACGTGGGATCTGCAAACCTAGACCTTTTTTATTATTTTTTTTCCTAAAAGTCCTCCAGGTAATTCTTATGGGCAAGCAGGATTAAGAACCACTTCTCTAAATGGCCAACATAAAAACAAGATGAAAAAAAAACCCTTTCAGTTACATACTCTAGACTCTAGAATCACATAAAAGACTCAGCAAAAAAAAAAAAAAATCCTTGGTTGTAAAATGGGACAAAAATTTTGCCAAAAGTACTAAGGTAAATCCTGGATTGTGTGTCTCTGTGTGTATGTATATATAATTTATAAAAAATTAGAAGAGATTATGTCCTAAATAGCATCCTTTTAAAAACTGCAGCCAAGTTTCTTGGGGCTTTTTCTTACAATAATATTCAATAAGCAAAGACAGCATACCAAACCACAATATTGTAAAAATAAGTGTTTATTTTGTGTATACAGTGGTTGTTAGACCCTGTAAGCATTTAACATTCTCAGTTTCATTTAAAAAGTGTTGTTAAAAGCTGTCTACTCCGTTCTGATTTTCCTAAAACCTTGCCACTATAAGCCTTAATTTCAAGGATAAATATTGGCACCTAACAACAACCTAAGTCAATAAACAAGCCTTCTCTCTTTTCAGATTATTAACTGGCCTTGATATGTTCCATTTGCATTAATAGTCTTCCCTGAATTGCTGTCATCACTCAACAGCAGTAGCATGCTTCCTTGCTAGCTGCCAAAGCAGAATTTCATCCCCAAATGGATCTGTAATGAAAGGATACAAAGATGAAATTATATGTAAATTAAAAGGGAAAGAATTCATTTTGGGTTGATCAAAAGCAGTCAAGAAAGGGATAAAAGTGCCAGCAGCACTTACTCCCCCAGTTTGAATCTGTGACCTGAGGCGTTCGTTCCTCTGCAGACTCAGATAAGAGCACAGACAGGACAACGACCACCCTGGGAGTGTCCTCCTCAACCACTGGGGACAGGTTTAGTCCCCATGCTTTAATGCACTCCATTTTTTTCCTGAACTCCTTCCATGTTCACAAATGTATTTGAAACACAGGAATCCTTTTCATTAATTTGTTACATGCCTGTGCTGTTATAAATATTAATACAAAATCTTTTTGTGTCTCTTGGAAGAATGATTACCCTTCTGATGAAATACTGATGTCTGCAATGCTAGGCTGCAATATTAACATGTAAAACTGAGTTATTACAGGCACCTCATAACACTTTTGGGAGACAAAAAGGAGTATTTTGTACTTGATTTAGAACATATTAAAAAGGCACTGTTCTGAATACATGTTTCTTTCTGAAACAAATGCCTGCATGAAAATTTTAAGACTTACTACTACTCATTTTTGGTAAGCAGTTGAACAAAACCTCTATGAATACCATTAAAATAAAAGGCACCTGAATATATGTGAAAGTTGCTTTCTAGTTAAGCAAATGTGCAAAATGTATAAATTGCTTAAAATCAGGAATACTCCCTAAAATCAGAAAAACAAAAAATGTTGATCATATCACCTGTCTTTGCAGTTAAGTGAAACACCATCTGTTTCCCTTATGATGGTGTTCTTCTGTGTGGAGAACTATAAACACCCAAACTTCCAATGCCAAGACAATATGGTTTAATATAAATAAGTAACATCCAACAGACTTCACAGCTGCGATTCTGAGTAGGAGGGAACATAAGTCTTAGAAAGCCTGTGCACTTCTTCAGCGGGGAAAGAACAGAGCCGTGCTCTAAGTCGCACTGATTCAACAAGCTACCCTGGTAATCTGCAGCTGTGTCTTCTTGTTATGTGCCGGCGACTCAGACCTGACTCATAGTGACCCCTCCTTGGGTTTCCGAGGCAGTATCACTACCGAAATAGATTGCCCCATCTTCCTTCCAAGGAGTGGCTGGTGGGTTTGAACCACCAGCCTTCTGGTTAGCAGTCAAGTGCCTTAGGCACTATGCTATCAGAGCTCCCCAGCTGTGTCTTAGTGGAGGCTAAAGTAAATGGCTAAAGGAGGCTAAAGTGGGGGCAATGGGAAAGCAGACCCAGTCACAGCTGCGAGAGTTGAGAGCTGAAGCTAGGACATGAAATGAACGTTCACACTGATCCATGGTACATTCACACAAGTAACTGAGGCTTCACCACGACTACACAGGTAGCGCTCGCTGTGGCCAGTGTCTGAACGTGTTGCTACTAGACCTTCCTTTTAAGCACTTTTTGAGTACTTAAATCACTTCGGAAACACTATTTGAACCCAAACCATAATGAATTCTGTGTTAGCTAAAGTAGGTATTCCAGGACTTCCACTAGGCAGCAAACACTTCAGTTAGCTGGTTCCTATATATGCTTGAAACAAAAATTTTTTTTCAATATCCCCTAACTCAAAGAGGCCTTCTTAATCATCCACCATCAGAGCTGTCACAGGTTCATCTTATAACACAAATTCTCTAAGACCCTGTTCCCAAATTATCACTTGGTGCGATACGTCTTAAAACCGAAGAGAAGATGAAATTATATGGATGCCTTTTTTTATACACATTTGTGTTAATATTGATTGTCAGTAAAAATAACACATAAGGTGGCACCTTTGTGGTAAATATCAGAATGTTAGTACTGAAGAGCAAAGGGAGTTGTGAAGAGTATGCTTTGGAAAACCCATAGAAGACCTCAGAGTGGTCGTCCGTGGCCATGCTGCTCTAGCCACACAGGCCACCGTCAGCGTCCTTCCCACATGTTGCGGCTGCAGTTCCCACTGGACTGTTTGTGCTGTCTTCCTTGGGGCTGCCTCTGGCTTCAGTCCTGTCCTGGGCCTTCTCCACTGCAGGACAACCTTCCACACTTCCTGACGGGTCTGGGCCAGAGACAGGCTTAGCCAAATGGCTGCTTTTAGTACTGCTTTCTTTCAGAGTGCTTTCTCCTGGGATCTCACCAGTCTTTGGCTTTGTATCCAAAATGGGTGTCTTATGCTATAAAATACAGAATTATAGTTTGTTTTCATTGTGTCAGTTAATGTGAAAGTTTAGTAATCAAAAATGTTAAATAAGCTTTTTTTATCCAAATCTATTGTGGCAAACTCTATTTCAAATCCTGGTTCCCAAGCTGGGCTGTGATGATAAGTGATTAAGCCTCAGAGGATATGCTAGGTAGTCTAGTGGCCCAGCCTGGGAAGGGTCAAAAGGGTCAAGGGTCAAGATGCTTTCAGGTATTGCTACCTGCTCCTGCCTGCTGAGAATCCATTCAACAAACATTTACTGAACATATATTATGCTCCTGGCAACAGAAAAATTAAGAAAGTATAATACATAGTTTAATATGTAGTCATAAGTGCTATGTAGAAAAAGGAGGGAAAAGAGGTAAAGAGTACAGGGAGAGGGGCAGGGTCAGGTTGCAGTTTAAATTAGGGTAGTCTGGAAAGGCGACACAGGAGTAAAGACCTGAGGAATGAGCCATGTGAACATCCAGGGGGGCTGCATTCCAGACAGGAAACAGCAAGTGCCAAAGCCCTTAGCTTAAGGAAAGCAAAGACGCCCTTGTGGCTGAAGTGGGTGAACACGGGGGATGAGGAGGCCAGATCAGTAAGGGAATGGCGGAGTGGGTGGTAACTCTGGCTTTCCCTTGAAGGGATCTGGGAAGCCACTGCATGATTTTGGGGATAAGTGAGGTAGCTATAACCATTAAAACCTAGGGAATAAGTTAAGTTTTCCTGGATGCTTACAGATATGTTTATTCTTTGAAGGCACTCCATGGAGAGGAATTCTATAATTTCTTAGGCTCTCTGGTGCTCATAACTCTCTCTCAAAAGTTTACTGTGCAACTTAAACTTTGCAAATGACAATACAAATTTCTCTCTCAAATGGGAAATGTCCCTTTAATGACCAATAGTGAAGAAATCTCCATCATGCTTCAGGTACAAAGTATAGTCTAGGCAGCCAATGACATAAAGGGATTGGGAAGAGGAGGGATTCTGGATGTGCCCCGAGGCCCCTCTTCCTCCAGCTAAGTCTTCAGAGCTCTACAGCAGTTTCTGAGGACGCGGGACCTTCGGGGGACTGCGCCCTGGTCTCAAGGGCACACATCTCAGGCACGTTCAGATGTCAGCTTCCTATGGAGTTTCATATCAATTACTATCTCTTCTAATGAACTACTGCTAGATGGTACTTCAAATAAAAATTAAATCTCATTTTATTTCTCAGGAGGATTTTTAACCATAAAGGAAGTGAGGATGTGTGACTATTACTGATGATGTAAGTCATTAAAACACAGTAACCACAAAGCTCTACAGGAGGCATGTAGGTTAGTGTGAAGGGACAGTAAATAAACAGGTGCTGACTTACACTGGGCACCACCTTGGGACGCTCCCGTGCCTCTGCCTCTGGGAACTCAAACGCCCGGAGCACTTCGGGGCTCTCGTTGCCAGGCTGAAACCTCAAGGGAACATTTCTCTGCCTCACAGCATCTCTTCCACCCTCATCTGCCTTCTGGTAAGGGCCTTGCTCGCCCGGCCCGATCTGGCCCCTGTAATAGAAATCTGCATCACCTGCTCCCCCACGGGGTCTATAATCAATTTCCTGCCGATGTCTTCTCTCCCCTGGGGGCAGTGCCCGGGGAGCGTCTCTCTCAGGACCACCCACATGTCTCAGCACACCAACTGATTTTCCAGCACCGTAGCAGAAGCTCTGAAAGGAAACACAGTTCCTGAGTACTTAGTGGCTGACTTACAATTAGGTGTTTTATTCAGGGTGCTAAGAAAGTTATGTCATTTAATGTACTCGTAGCATTAATACATAAACATTTATTTCACTTATTTGCATCAGACTTCTTTAGACTAACAAAGGATCATGGTAGTGAATACAATTTAAGAAATCACTCAATATTAAGTAGGTATTTCAATAAGCTGGACAGATTTTGATTGGATTACTGGATTATCATAATAATGGCAGTTAGACTGAATCTTAGAAATTTAAATGAGAAGATTCTAGTTTTCTGATAATTGCTCATGTTGTCTACAACCATTATATACGGTAAATGTTGAAAACTAAAGTTGCACATCATAATGTAAATACTTTCTGCTGTAGATTTTTTACAAATACACACCTATACCTAAGCTTCAGTAAAACTCGCCAGTTTTGATTCACACTCCATGGGCTCACTAGGCAGCAGTTCTCAGAGTGGCCCGAGGCACCCTGGAGATTTCAGACTCTCACAGAATCTGTGAGATCAAAGCTTTCTGTGATACAAAGACCCGATCGGTGGCTTCGATTCTCCTGAGTGCACAGTGGAGTCTTCCAGAGCCTCTGTGACAAGGGACAGCACCATCACTGACTGCTCACAGGATGTGTCCCTATGTATGCCTGTATTTAAAAAACTTCTCTGCTTTGGTTCCTTACATAGTAAATACGAATAAATATAACCACATAAACAAAAATTCTTTGTGGCTCTCAATTTTCAAGAATATAAATCAGTCCTGAGACCAAAAAGTTTGAAAACTGCTACATGAGAGAAATGCTACTACTTGAAGACAGGAAAAGTCAAAGATGTTAAGTTAGGGAGTACAGACAGCAACAAGGCATGATGGGGGTTTCTGCTTAGAGTTTCTGTCACTAAACTACTACTATAGAACTAATGTCCCCTGACAAAACAACATCCTAAACTAGTGAATCCTATCATCACAAGTCAAAAACAAAATAAAACCAAAAAAGGTACTATTTCAATGTAAATAGAACATGGTGAATTTTGTATCTTTAGGGAGGACAACAAGCATTCAATAATTTCACTCGGCACATCTAAGTTCTCTATTTTTTTTGTGTTATGTGGTAACAGTTTTACTTGGGCAAGTGCCAAAAATCAACAAAGAAATCCTGAACAGACCATTGGTGAATGTTGAGCGACAATCGTCTGTGCCTGGATTTCCAAATGCCGCTTAGAGCACCGACCTGCCCCTAATCCACTTCCAAGTCTGTGCAAGCTCAACGCTCTTCCCTTCTCAGTGCTGCACAAATTTGACTGAAATAAGCAAGCTTCCCTTTCTCTGACAGGAAACAATCAGCTGATTTCACATGTATTTATTCACCAAATTCAAAGAGCCAATTTGCAAAGGTGGTTATTCTAAATCACTACTATGACCACTACAGACCAGAGAACCACTTCCCCACCGAAAGGGATATGCATGTCCAAACCAAAACCAAACACAGCTGTCGAGTCAATTCCAACTCACAGTGACCCTATAGAATCCCTATAGGGTTCCCAAGGCTGTAATATTTACACAAGCAGACTGCCATATCTTTCTCCCATGAAGTAGCTGGTGGGTTCAAACAGCTGACCTTTTGGTTAGCAGCCAAGTGCTTAACTACTGCACCACCAGAGCTCCCTAATATGCATATAAGTAGAAAAAAACTCTGTACCACTTAAATAATCACATTCTTACTGGTCCATCATGTGATCCTCAGCCTATACAACCATGAGACCAGAAGAACTAGATGGTGCCCAGCTACTACTGTCAACCACTCAGAGGGAGATCTATGTAGGAGATCCTGGATAGAGTGGGAGAACAATGTGGAACAAAACTCAAAATCATTTAAAAAAGGGACCAGGTTTGCTGGTCTGACAGAGCCTGATAGAACCCCTGAGAGGCAGCTAGCTGCCCTTCAAGTCTGGAATTGAACCCACCCCTGTGGCTTGTAGCCACAAAAAAGACAGGCATATGAGCTGAACATTTACATTAGGTAGACAGACTCCTTGGATAGATCCATCTATTGAAGGGCTGTGTTTGCTCAGGGAGACATCTCAGGGGGCAGGAGTGCATGGGAGGGAAGCTTGCATTGTGGGAAATTGCACTCAGTGTCATGAGACAAAGGGTATGTGAGCTGCTATATGGAAAGTGAATTTGCTCTGTGAACTTTCACCCGAATCACAATAAAAATTTTTTAAAAAATTCAATATTCTGTAATTAAAAATAACTCTTCAAACTGAAAAAAAAAAAAAAAATCACCTTCTTATGTCCTAAAGCATGATTTAGCCTGATTTACAACATCAAGGAAATGTGATCAGTTTTTCTGCAAGTCCTATTAAATGTCCATGGTGCTGTACTAACCAGGACGGCCAGTGCCATGATGATCAGCAATGGAATGTGCAGCAACACCGGGACCTCCTTCATGAGCGCTCTAATAAATTCACCGCTTCCTTTCCCAATGTGCTTCAGCGGCTCCGTCACAAAGTTGGTGAGAGTAACTGCCAAGGCCTAAAACAAAAGAAGCAGATTAATTTTTCCCTCAATAGGACTGAGGCAAAATTCACTATCACTGAGGTTGACATTATGTTATATACATAAAAAGGCTGCCATATGCCAGTTTTAATATGGAAAATCACTATGTAATTAAACTAATTTTCGCTGGTCAAAAAATATATATTTACTCTAAAAAAAATGTTATTTTTTATAAATACACAGGAATTTTTTACTTACTTTGTATAAGTAATTTTCACAGAATTTATTCTATACCTTTGTTGGGGGAACCAACCAAATAGGGTTGACTACTACGAGCTCATAGTATTTTTGGCATGAGTCATCTTGAACGGTCCATGTACTCCTAAACCATTCTATTTAGAGAAACAAACAGACAAAAACACTGAATCAGTTTCTTTGAAAGTGGCATTTCATTCCCAAATAAGATATTTGGGTTTTATCCCTCTTTACCAATCAATCAATTTCAAGTACCTTTACAGATACTAATGCTAATTTTAAAATTTTTTATTTCTCATATCAGATATTTAAAAAATCTATTCAAATTATAGAAGTGCTGGTGGTACAGTGGTTAAGGCATTCAGCTGCTAACCAAAAGGTTGGTGGTTTGAACCTAAGAGTCGCTCTGCAGAAGAAATATATGGCAGTTTGCTTCTGTAAAGATTTATAACCTTGGAAACCCAATGGGGCAGTTCGACCCTGTCCTATAAGATCGCTGTAAGTTGGAATTGACTCGGTGGTGGGTTTGGTTTGGTTTATTCAAATTATACAAGTTTTATGCATATAAAATATTTTCTAAAAATTTCTAAAAGGTAGTTAAGTTATTAAAAATCAGTCTTTACTAGACATGGGGGCTCAGGACGGTAGTCTCAGGGGACATGAAGGTCCATTGGCATTAACACAGTCCACAAAGACAGTGTTCTACATCCTACTTTGCTGAGTAGCAACTGGGGTCTTGAAAGCTCACGAGTGGCCATCTAAGGTACAATTATTGGTCTCTCCCATCCAGAGCAAAGATTCATGAGGGAAAATCAAAGGTACAGGGAAACAATCCAAAGGACTAATGGACCATGTGAACTCTAGTCCCCATGACCATGCAACCAGAAAAACTAGACTGTGCCCCACTACTACTACTGACCACGCTGAAAGGTATCATAATAAGAGGTCCTGGATCAAGCTGGAGAAAAATGTGGAACAAAATTCAAAATTACAGAAACACCAGGCTTACTGATGAAACCCCTGAGGTTATAGCCTTTGATACCCTTCAAGCTGGAAACTGAACTCAGCCCCCGTGGCTCAACTTTCAGCCAAATGACAGACCTGTAAGGTGAACAGTGATAACAGGAGTGTACGCATTCATTAGAATAATCAACCATATGAGATCAAGAGGACAGCATTTTTTCAAGGATAGAGTTAGGAAGCTGGGAGGGAGAGGATGGGAAGGAAAGATGAAAGGAAGTGGATACCGGGAAGAAGTGGGAAGAATGCTACTGCACTGGGGGTACTGCAGTGAATGCCAAAAAATGGAATGTGTGTGGATTGCTGAATGGAAAACTGAGGGCATCTGAGTAAGGTTGGTGGGATGTATACAGGTCAGCGTCCTGGACGTGGTACTGTATTAGTACAGTTGTGCAAGGTGTTACCATTGGGACAAACTGGATAAAGGGTACGTGGGAATCTGTGTTTTCTTACAACCACCTTCAACTTAAAAAATCAGCTCTTAACTGATTTCACAAAATAACAAAGAATATTAGCTCATCTGATTTTTCCAATTTACCTACATTTGGAAAAGTAACTTCAACTAGAGAAAGTCCTTCATTGTCACCTGAAGCCAGGAAAAAAAGGTTGCACTGCTTTAGTTCCCATGACTGTTTTTAAGAAACATCCATCTCGGATGCCCTGAGGTACAGAATCAGCTGAGACTCCACTCTAGGATAGTCACTGTGGACCTGCATTTAGAAAGTACCTTGAACATTAAACCATATGCACTGCTAGATACACACAACTAAGGCAGTCAACATTACTGAGAAGTTTACAACGTCTGTAACAACAACAAAAGTAAAATGATTTTGCCCTTATTTAAAAAAAAAAGATTAAAAGTCAGATTTCATAATGAGATTAAATCTAAAATGAGTATTAATTCATATATATATATATACACATATATATATATGTATGTATATATATATACATGGGAGCTCTGGTAGCATAGTGGCTAAGACACTTGCCTGCTAACCAGACGGCTGGCGGTTCCAACCCACCAGCCACTCCTCGGAAGGAAGGTTGGGCAATCCTACTTCCGTAGTGATACTGCCTCGGAAACCCAAGGAGGGGTCGCTATGAGTCGGGGCCGACTCGACGGCACATAACAACAACAACAACAATATATACATAAAATACACATTCTCTTTTTTGGCAAACTTCTGCTGAGGACCTAGAATGTACAGTATACATTATGCTAGGGACTAGGTAAACCAAAGTGAGCATATGATCCCTTACGGTCTAGTAGGAGGAGACAGACAGTTATTAGGCAGTATACATGTGAGTTCTAGCCCTTCCCTGGGACTTTACATGAAAGCAAGTCACTAGTCTTAAACCTAAGGTTCTTTCTGCATATTCTTTTCTTTCTAGTGAAACAGAGTCATATACCATTGTAACAATGTCTGTTCTTCAAGTTGTGAACACATTCTTACCATCTTTCTCCAAATTGTTCCACTGCCATTGATTTAAACTCATTGCCCCCTAAGCTTCATATCTAACCTGTTGAGTTGCTGTTATCAATTTTATTTCACACAGATTCTTCTTTAAAAGAGCACAGTGCTCAAGGCTGACATGCTTTACTTATTAAAATAAACTATAATTTGGGTCAAAGAAGACTTCAAGGGATAGTTTTGGTTTAAAGTTTAAAGATTATCTCAGGACAATAGTTTTGGGAGTTCATCCAGCCTCAAAGGCCCTAGAAAGTCTGGCTTCCATTGAGAATTAGAAAGTCTGTTCCCCATTCATTCCCTTTTGATCAGGATTCTTCTATAGAATATTTTATTAAAACGATCAGCAATTTTGCATATTCTTTTGATATTCAAGTGAAGACTACTCCTAGCATTTTACCATTTTCTTTGTAATGACTCTGATTTTCTCTCATTCTCAGAAATTCTATTCAAAATAAGGCCAAGTGAACAAACACCTTACCCCAGATACTTGCAGTCCAGTCCATCTTCTCAGCACACACATTGTTTAATGGTTCCATCTTGGCAACTTCGGCCTGATGCTGTGCAAACGCTAGCTGACCAACACCAAAGGGGACCATGAAAGGCTGCTAACCAGGCAGGCTAGGCCTGCACACCCACACAACTCGAGGTCAGCCATGCCTCCACCATTCACCCCAGACAGACTGTTTAAAAAATCTTAATAAAAATATACATACAGATATTATTTCTACAGATCAGCTCTTTTCATCTCATGACAAAGCACAGAGTCTTATCAGAACAAGAAAGGATAAAGCATTAATGGCAATGCCTTCTTGTAGGTAATTATGAGGAGAAGGGTAAACGTCATTACTGAAAAGACTGTTTAAAAATTATAACCAGTTCAAACATAGTTCCTACCATGCCCAAAATATAGCTATATGTATTAAATGACTAATTCTTTTAGTGTTTTGCTTTGGATGGTTTTCAGACTAATAAAAAATAATCACTTTTATAAATCAGAGTTGGGCAAGAAAGCGCTGTGGTAACTATACTCAACCAAACCAACTTCCTGTCCAAAAGAAAACCAGGTGTTTAATTTGTAAATGATTAGTTCTAGAATTTACAGGTTAAGGAATAAGATTTTTTTACTAACATAAATTATTTGGCTACCTCACTCAGTCTTCTAAAAATTGATCCATCTGGGCACAATAAAGATTGTTATTTTGACAGGGATAGCAGTGGTCCCTTCAAGTTTTCATATTATTGCTGCTGCTGGCGGCCATCAAGTTGGCCCGACTCACAGCAACCCAGTCTACATCCTGCTGGGCCCCAGAGGTCCTCATGGTTGATTTCTGGAAGCAGACTGCCAGGCCTTCCTCCCTAGAGGTACACTGTCTCGGAATTGAACCTGGTCTCCCACAAGATTTCAGTAAGATCCCAATTTTGTAAGATAATTACAACTTAGAAAAGAGACTGGACAGAAATACCTCAAAGTACTGACAGTGCTTATCCCCCCTAGGTGATAAAATTAAAGGTGATTTTGAAAAACGAATTTCTTTCTTTTCTAAGCTCTCTACCATGACCATCCCACTAAATTTTTTAAAATAATATTTTGGTATCTCTTTCAGCAAAGAATGAAAAGACACGACCCAAAAATTACAAACCTAAGACATTTTTTAAATGTGTCTGCCTAGCTCTATTCCGACTTAGCTGTCCAAACACCATGCAGCAGGAACTGAGTTACAAAAATAAGGACTGCACCCCCTTCCCACAAACTGCTCAAACATGCAGAAAACCACATACAGCGAAGCAGCCACCAATTTCCTCCCCCTACTACCACCAAGCACTGCCCCCAACCCACACCTGGGACAAGAGTACTCTAAACGGATTAAAGCTTTTTTTAAAATTATGAATAATTAACATCTTTACACTTAAAAAGCTTCCACCTATTTAATACCTTGTATAAATATATCCAGTTCCATCCCAAACTGACGAGGAAACTGACGAATAAAACACGTCTCAACTGGGTGTACCAACGAACATATGTCCACAGCTCGGTAGCCACTAACACCACAATGCAGAGCAGACACAGAAGCACCTGGAGAACAGGACAGACATCTGTCACTGCCAAGCCGTCCTCCCCATGAGAAAACGCCAATGCTCAATAAAAACCAAAGAACTGGACTCAAACATGTAAAATTCATTTGCACAATTTTACTGTGTGGTCATCAATGCTGTATCATCAATTTAACACAGGTTCTTAACATAATTATGGTGGATTTTTTAAAATTTTATTTTTATTGTGACTTGGGTGAAAGTTTGCAAATTCATTTTCCATATAGCAGTTCATACACATTGTGTTTCATGAAGTTGACTGCAATTCCCCCATGTAGGAGCTCTCTTCCCACTTCCTCCTTATAGTTACCTCTTCCCTGTATCCTTCTTTCCTAAGCATTCCTGCCCGCACCCCCCAGCCCTGGAGCTGTCACCCTGTGTAAACACTGCCCTTCTGTTCTCCCACAACTGATGCTCTTAGGAGGGTGTCTACCTGATGTAAATGTTTACCCTATACCTGTCCATTGTTGGGCTGGAAGCCACAGGAGTGAGTTCAGTTCCAGACCTGAAGGGTAACTAGGGGCCATAGTCTCAGGGGTCTCACCAGACTCTATGAGACCAGTAAACCGAGTCTTTTTTTTTTTTTTTTTATGATTTTGAGTTTTGTTCCCCTTTGTTCTCCCACTCTATCCCGGAGCTCCTGCACTGATCCCCAGTTGACATAATTATGGTGGATTTTTTAACAGAATTTTTAAAAAGGAACCATAATTATGACCCCTTGTCTCACCTTACCATGAACACATTATATGGATCCACTCCAAAGTAATCTTCAAATCGCCACTTCCATGTTTCAAAATCATGAAACTTAAGATTAATTAAAATATCACTCAGTGCATCGTCCAAGGCTCCAGATTTCCAGTCCTCTCCATTGAGAAACTTCTCTATTTCTAACAAGGTCTGTCTTTTCAGGATAATTTCGGCATCATAATGCTTATCACCATTGTTCTCATCAGGCTGCATCAAGTTTACCAAAAAACAAGCAAGAGAAAAAGGTAATTTCATCATTACACTACTCAGTGAAACATTTCTAAGTGAAAGTCACCTGTAACTAAACATAAAATTGATTTGCAGTATTCCATCCACATAAAATAAGAGCACATCAAATCCTCATTTATCGATATGGTTAAGGTTCCAAAGACCAGGCCATTATGTGAAAATGGAGGATGACTACATCGGATCAAAAAATGGAAGGTGACTACATCATTACATCACTGCCAAATTACAACATTATGTAACTGCCAAATTATATCATTACATGATTGCCAAACCACTGAGAATTATGGCCTAGACAAGCTGATGCATAATCTTAACCATTATAGCCAGCATGATTCTCACCTCACATCTCAGCATTCATTACTGCCAAACATACGTTGTTAATACACAACATAGTCATAAAGTAGGTTTTTTCCTATTATTATTTTAAAATGTTGGGTAACAAGATAGTCGATAGGTGAGGAGAAGGGGCACCAATATCCAGTTGTTTGTCTCACAGGCTGACATAAAAACCAAAGATCATACATATGAAAAGCATTTTTTAAAATGTAAAGCTCTATGTATGCTACTGTAAATTTTACTAAAGTATTTTATTATTAAATGTGTTTTCCCTTTACTGACACTGTTTTCAGATAAAACTCACAAGCTACAAATGAGAAAAATAAAAGGATCTCAAAAAGCAGCAAAATATGGGCTTCCATATATATGCATGACATTTTAACTACTTTTATTAGTGTGTTCAGCTTAGTAAAATCGTATTAAACAACATTTTACATTGATTAATCAGTTAATACAAATAAGAAAAATTTTTTTTCTAAGACTAGATGCTCACGACCATTAGCTATTAGAGAGATGCAAATCAAAACAACGAGATACCATCTTGCTCCAACACTAATAGCAAATCTTCAACAAGACAGAAAATAACAAATGCTGGCGAGGTTGTGGAGAGATTGGAACTCTCATACACTGCTGGTGGGACTGTAAAATGGTACAACCATTGTGGAAAGCAGTATGG